TCAGGGTAAGCAGCTAATGGAAGAGAACAGGAGATTGAAACAGGTGATATATTATGACTATGTTTTTCAGATCCTGCCTAGTTTTTGTTGTTGTTGTTTTTGATGCAAATGCTTGGTTATTTTTTTTCTCTGTTAATTATTGCAATGATAGAGGATTGGAATGAGATAAATGATAAAGAAAGTTTATGTTTTCAGGTTACACTAGAACAAGGACAACCATATGACTCTGTGATCTCGTCCAGCTCATCTGATACTCCTCAACACTTCAAAGATTCTGATACCTCTCTCAAGTTGGGGTTTTATTGATCATATATAATATTCAATTATATATGGAATTGAGTAGCATTTAAAAGAAGATATGATTGGATTTATTTAAATCAATTGAGAACTAGAAAAGAACAAAGAGGGGATGGAACTCAAGCCCCACACAAGAGAGCACATACATGGGATTTTCCTTCAGAATGTGAGTAAATATCAACCAACTCAACTTTACTTTTCCGATCAGGACATCTAGTCCTGACTTTAATAGATTTAGTTTTTATAATTTTTTAATCCAATAAATTATGAGAACTAAAGTTTAAAGACTCAATCATTGAGAAAAAATTTCGGGATTAAAATGAATATTATCCTATAATTTTAACACAAACCAGGTTGTTAGTTTTTAACATATACAGTATGAAAATGAGGGTTAACCAGCCTAACTGGACCGAAAAATCATTAAACAAGCGCCTTAATTTAATAAAATGTTTTGTTTATGGCTGATTTAATCACAGTTTAATTATAATTTTTGACCGGTTCAATGAATGACTTGTCTGTTTTCAGTATTTTAGTTCTTAAGACAACAATTCTTGTGAAGTATCATTTGCTGCCGCTGCTGAAGTCCACAAGGGCTTAATCAGTTTCTGATCATATATAAAGTGCATTATTACAGCAAGATTTCAAGATACATATGTAACAGCCCCGTCGAATCGCCAAAGCTTTGCTAAAATCATCATCTTTCAGGTTATAAAAAGACATCATGAACCCAATTCAACAGTTTCCATATCTGAACCACACGTCTCCTCGCTTTTGTTGCTGGGCCGGGCTGCAAACAAGTCCCAAAAAAAATCCAGCTGGGCTATATACTCAGGCTGACCCACATCGAAAATCTTAAGTTTCCAGAGATCATTATATTTGACACCCTCAATGACGAGTGAACAGCTATTTGTTGGTTTATAGACCAATTTAACAGTATAGCACTATAGCTTATCTTCTTGATTATAACAATTGTTACAATACAAATCATCGTTTACTAGTTTATGTTTCTAAAAATATTGGTTAAAATTTTGATTTTTTTATTTAAATTTTTAAATCTTTTTAATTGTACCTTTGAGTGTAATAAATACTCTCTTTAGTCGAAAATATAAATAGATTTTAAAATTTACATACAAATAAAGTTCTTATTCTCATAAAAATATATATTATTTTTCTTTTTATCCTTATTCCCAATTATCAATGAACTTCATGGTGAATAAAATAACTTTATACAAGAATTTAGGCTAATAAATACAAAGGGTAAAATTGAAAAAACAATTTTTTATATGTATTCAATTGCTTATATTTTAAAATGAGGTTAATTGAAGGAAAATGCTGTGTTTGAACTGGAAAGAGTATAACATTTGACTTATTTAAGACATTTTGATTAATTACTCAATAAAATAAGGTGTAACTAAAAAGTATATAACACCCACCTGATGCTTTATATTTTGGACCACACAAATCTTCTAAAAAATGACCTGCATTATAGTCTAGAGAGAGTAAAAGTTTGAGGTGTAAATTTTAAAATTTTAATTATATTTTCCATTAATTCTCTTTTAGTTCTTTAATTGTTATTCTCCTTTTTTTTATAATAATGAAAAAATTTCATTAAAGGTCTTTGAATATGGTATAATTTTAATTGTGGCCCAAAAAAAAAATGAACTTTCACTACAAGTCTGGAGGACTCAAATGAAATAAAAAGTCAACTTACAAGTTTTGCAAGTAAACTAGAATAAACACACCTTCTTGTTATTCTTATAATATTATTTATAAAAATCATAACTTGAATTATTATTCTAATAAATTTGTAAAAATCATAGTTTGACTTATTATTACGATAATATTACTTATAAAAAATATAACTTGATTTGTTATTTCAATTATATTATTTGTAAAAATGTAATATAACTTATTATTCTAATAATATTTCTTGTAAAAATTATAACTTAATTTATTATTTTAGTAATAAAATTTTGGTTATTTAATTAAAAAAATACTAAAAAATTATTTTCCTTTTATCTCTCGAACCTATAATAAAATTTTAAAATATTTTAAATCTCAATTGAAATTATGCCATAGTCAAAAGTTTTTAAATGAAATTTTCCCGACAGCAATTGTCATTCTCTTCTCAATCCGCGATTAGTTTGCCTTTAAGAAAAGTCAAATTGAATACTCTCTCTCTCTCTCTAAAAGTCTTAGCCAACAAATTTATTCGTTCCCTTAAATTGTGGTTCGTAACTCTAATTTTTTCCCCACTTCATGCCCTCTTATCTTATTATCTATATAGCTCCTAAAGTTGAGAATGGGCCAGGCCTTCAATAAGAAACTTATAATTTAACCTACTTTAAATTTCTTATTAAATATGCTTGGATTAGGTTCATATTTTTAATTAGATTTATTTAATGAGGTCAAGTTTATTTTTTTAAAGCTTAGCCTATGAATACAATAGGCTAGCCTATTTATATACATACATACATACATCAGTTTCATCATTTAATTTTTAATCAATCTATTTCTTTTTATTTTTAATTATATTAGACTTATATATTAATTTTAATATTATTAATTTATTGTTATATTATATTGTAATTGGTAAGTCCTTTCAATTATTATATATTATAATTAATAAATCAAATTATATATTATATACTATAATAGTTATAAAGTATATTTAAAATATTTAAAACTAAAACGTGGACATGTTTAAGATATTTAATTTTAAATAAGCTTTCAGGTCATATTAGATTTTAGGTAGGCTTAGGCTTGAGCCGTAAAAAAACAAACTTTATACAAACTTCAATTTAGACTTAAACTTAAGCTTTTGATTTACTATACTGACTCAAGTTTATTTGATCAAAGGTTAGTTTGATCAAATCTATTTTCACTCATATTAGCACCTAATTCTTGTTTAGTGGGAGGTTAGTGGGAGATTTTAATGGGTAAAATTTTAATATTAATAAAATTATAAAAAAGATAAAATATAAAATAAAGAGTAAAAAAATAATTAAAATCTTTTAAATCTAGGTCTCCATTTTTTTTTAAATCCAACTTATTAACTTATTAGAATCTTCCTTCCCATTCCATTCTTTCCATTTCCTTCCGACTAAGAAGATCACAAGGTAATAAATTTCACTCCTAAATCCTTTTGGATAAAAAAGGAAATTATAGGCCATATGTATATATGGAAAGTATGAAGACATTGTGGACGAGTACGAGGGTACGGATTGGATAATTTATTTCACTGCCAAAATCTCTGTTTGGGATAAGATTTTCACGTGCCCATTTGTACGGTGAAGGAAAAGTGACCACACAATTTTCTGACGTCTGACCCATTCAACGTGCTTTCGTCTTCCAACGTCCATCTGAGAATTTGTTAAGCAGAGTAAATGGACCAACGTCCATCACATTAAATAAAATTTTCTCCTAAATTAATTAAAACATTCTTAAAAAATCCTGCTGATTCGTACTTTTTGTCAGCTGAGGTAATAATAGGTACACGCTTTCTAAAATATAAACAATTTTTAATAAAAATTTACATAAAAATAAATAGAGTTGTAAGAAAGATGAACCGAATAAGACTTAGGCTTAATTTAAATTTACTCTCTTTTATAAAAATAATTGAACTAGACAACCCATAATTTAGTATGATTCAAATATAACCTCAAATAAAATGAGACCATACTTGATATATAAAATTGAAAATTAGTCTTAATAGTTTATTATAATTGATGTTAATAAATTATAAAATTTGTTAGTAATTGACATTTGATGTTAATAAATTAATAAATAAAGTTAATAATTTAATAATTGATATTGTTTTCCATGATTGAATAATTGATGTCAAGTCTTATTTATTTTTTTATTAAAAAATGTAAAGTATTTTTTGAAGAGTTAGATATTAAAAAATATAACGTATTTTTCATCTTTCGAGGTTAATTATTATCTTTTTCTTAAAAGTGTCCCTATTGATAATGACTTTATATTTATTGTAGGGTATTTAATAGGAATAAATATAAAAAGATAGAATTAGTTTAAAAGTAGGTAACTATTTTATTAGGGGATGAGATTTGCTAAAAAATGTTTTAATTTTGAATAGAGAGAGTAATTATTAACATGTCAACTATATAATTTGTAACTCATATTAATAATTAATAAGTAAAGTGAGAAAATTAACAACTACTAATAATTTTATATAATAAGTAAAATGTATTTTGATTTTTAAAGTTAAAATTATTTTTATTTTTATTTTTTAAATTAAAATAAAATTTTAAAATTTTTTGAGGCTAATTAGTAATTATGTCACCGTCTGATTCTTATTTAATATTTTCTCAAAATTTAAAGGATTAAAAAATGAAACCCAAGTAAGACTATGCATCCAAGATACAGGAGATTCGAAGAGTACGAGGGTACAAAATGTCCCAGTCTGAGGTAACTGATAGGCATGTCCATGTCCTCTTAAACAAACATCATACTTAATGGAGACAGGCTGGGCTTAGCTTGCCACTTGCATATTCCAACCAATAAAATAAGGTGTGGTTTAAAGCTTGACTTTTCTTTTCCAAAATATTATTATTTAAAAAAAATAATTCAGACAGGACACCAGCTTTCTCGCTTGCCCATAAATGGAAATTCTGAGCCAATTGCAGTAAGTCATATCTTTATCTAATACAGTTATATTTATTGCAACCTTATCACCTTCCTCTCTCTCCCCCCTCTCTCTCTCTCTCTCTCTCTCTCCCAATTCCAGTGGGCAATTTTGTTCTGATTTTCAAGCTCCAACACTCAGGCACACAAAAGGAAAGAAAATCCAAAAAAAGGTAATTACGAAAAAGGAAACCCAGAATTTTTCTGACCATGTTTCTGATCAATCTTCCTTTCTTGATCTTGCATCTCAGTCTCATGCTACAGTAACTCATTTAACTGATTATTTCTTTCCATCTGTTTTATGTCTCGTTGCTTTTTAATCTTTCCACTTTCAGACTTCAGAGTCTGGGTAAAGCTCTGGTTTTTTCCCCCCTGGATTATCAAAAGCCTAACCCAGTAAAACCCTCATGTCTGTTTTCATTCATTTTCTTTTCTGGGTATTTTCTCAAGAACCTGAAACAATGTTAGTTAATATTTTCCGTCCCAGAAGCAAATTGTCTGCACTGTTCTGGATTGGATCTGATGCTTTTTTTTTTGGGTTATTTTCACGGATTGATTTTTGATTTTTTGTGTAGATCAGAAGGAGACAATGACGAGAAAGAAGATAGAGATAAAGAAGATCGATAACATAGCTGCGAGGCAAGTGGCGTTCTCAAAAAGAAGAAAAGGTCTTTTCAAGAAAGCGAAGGAACTTGCTACGCTCTGTGAAGCTGAGATTGGTCTCATGGTCTTTTCTTCTACTGGAAAGCTCTACGACTATGCTAGCTCAAGGTCTCTTTCTTCTCTCTGATCAATAATCTTTATCTTAATATATATATATATATATATATATGTAAACCAATATTAGTTATTATATTAGTGTATCACCTTGATTTAATTAATCCGCAATCCCTTTTTTTTACACATGTTTTGAATGCTTTCTTAGCCATTTAAGAATGAGCGAATATTTTCCGTGAAATCGTATGATAGCTTCAGAGAAAACGTGTGAGAATTCTAAAAATAATTATGAAGTTGTTCTCTGCGTGTGTACTGTGAGGCATGATTGATCATTCAAAACTTGTGCGAAATCTTAATTTCAATTTAAAAAATTCCAACAATGTGATAGCAAAGTTTCTTGAGGTGGGCCTGGATAAGTAGCTTTTAATTTTTGGTACTTTTTAAAAGTTATTAAAAAAAATCGTGAAATGAGAGTGGATTTTAAAAATGTTACGGTTACTCAATTTACACGCAACAAACTTAATTTTCGTAACTTTTCAAACAGACTTTGTAAATGAGATTTGATTTTCTTATTAATTTTCTATATCATTCTTATGAAAAACACAAGCCATACAAGTATCATTCTTATGAAAAACACAAGCCATACAAGATGACGAATCCTTTTTTTTTTTTTTTCTCATACGTGTTTAGCTTGCTGATTCTTTTTGAATTGTCAAAGTCTTTCATGTATATTTCTTAATCAAATAGCATGAGAAATTGAGAATATTGAAGTTTGCATTCATATGTACTAAGATATTTTAACAATTAAAATAATGATATATTGGAGTGAATAATTATGAATTTTATTTTTGTATATATATAATATTTGAACAATTTATTATATATATTTTTCAATATATCAGACTTTATATTTTCTTTAATACTTACAATTTAACATGTCAAATTTAATTTTATTTAAAATTTTTATCACATTTTTAAACATTTCTAATATATTATATTTTTATAACAAAAATTACAAATCATTATAAATTAATATTCTTTTTTGATAACTGTACATTTAAAAATATATTTCACTATATGTAATTCATATGATTTTCAGTTTACTAGATTGATTTTTAGAAAAATGTATCTAAATATATATTTCATTATATCAATTGACTTTCACTAAATTGGCTTTTGTTAAATAAACTTTTAATAAAATTCCTTTTGATTAATGAAAAACCAAACATGCACTTAGTGTTTTACCTCTAGAGAAACCATCATATGTAAAAGGCCAGCTAATCAAAAGGAAAAAAAAGGATCAGAATAAATTGTAAAAACCTTTCAATGTGGTAAAAGTTTCAATTTCGATAATATATGGCTATTGTGTTGCTTTGAAGCCCATTTCAAGACTTTATTATCACATTATTTGATTGCAAGCAGAAAAACAGAAAATTAAGGGGAAAAGGGGATGGTTGGAGGAGAGAGGAATCACTGTATGCACTTGGATTTTGTAGCAAACACGCAAGTTGGGATATTTATAAATTTTAATTAGGAAAATTGTTATTAAAAACATACGATTTTAATTCTTTTTTATATGGGATTTCATCGTGGATCATAATTGATGGAAATATTTTTCCATGGTCCATGTTAGAAGAAGAGACATCTAAAAACACATTAACATATATAGTTTAATTTTTAGACGAAATATAAATGTTTGACAATTTTAGATTTAGATTAATAGGAAATGCATGATTCATTTGAATAGTATTTCTGTTTGACATTGATTGAAAGCTTAACATAAAAACTGAAAACAGGATATTATATACTGGATGCTTGCGGCCAAGTGATTTATTCGGTATGATATGTATAAGCAATTGTGATTTGTGTAACACCTCTAAAAAATTGAAACATAAAGCGTGAAAAAGAATGCTAATTACTGGGATACGAAACCTATAAAAAAACTTGATCAAGCAATAGAACTCATAATCAAATAAAATTAAAATCAAGAAGTTTAGGGGAAAAAAGAAGGAGAAGAAGTTCCCATCAATTATGTGAGGTCATGTCTGGAAGATGGAATTTCCAGCGGAGGCCTATTACAGGAGAGGGAATTTCCACCATAATAAGGCCCAACACAAAACCCAAAATAAAGCTCTAATGCGCGTGCAAGTTTAGGCATCCAGGACAAATAACCAAGTACGCAACTATGTATAATCGTAAACAGTGTTTACAAGGAAATCTGTCGTAACAGATTGAGTCAACCACCATATCATAAACCATGGCCATCAAGGGAAGCAAAGGGAAAGTTGCTCTCTAAGTGAGAGGTGTCCGTTTTACTTTTATCTGAGTTTGCCTTTGAACTCATCGAGGAATAGAGACGTAGTTGTGTAGTGTGATGGAGATGGAGGTTGAGATGGATGATGGTGGTTAGTGATGTAATGGCGATAGTGGTATGGTGGTTCAAAATTGGCATCATGATGATGATCGGAGGATCGGAAGGAGGATTTTAGTAGACAAGGTTATGTCCAATCTGCCTATGAATTGGAACAATGCAAGTCCGAATGTGAAGAAAGGCTAGAACCCGTGATAGGAATCAAGTGATGAGTTAGAATTCAAGGTTTAGTATTTTTGATCCATTGCAGAGTATTGGAGGATCAAGGACTAGATTTAGAGCTAAGAGAATGAAAGAAATCTTAAATTCATAATTAAGGATGCCCTACATGACCGAAGAGTCCTAAAAGCAAATGGAGTTCTAAAAGACATAATAAAAACTCTTAGTATATTGGACCTAACCAAGATACTCAGGTTCATGAGTTCAATTAGTTTAGTGAATATTCCTTCTTAAATTTAGAAAATTATTTTATCTTATTTTACATTCAACTTTAAATTTAAGAAAATTAGTTCATTTTGTTTAATTTCAAATAATGATAAAATATATCCATTAAGGATATGATCTATCCATTAGGAATCCTATATTAGCTAGAATTGTGTTATTTAGGTTTTTAAAAGTCTACTCGAATAGTTAAGCCATTTGTATTTTTAAAAGACTTAATTAAATTTTATGAATTGAATTTTCTTTTGATTGTAAGGCTATTTTGATTAGTGTTATTCTCTGTGAGATAAGATGCCATGAGATTTTAGATTATTGTGAATTATCGTTCGGTTGCCTCGTATCATTTTGATATCAATGCTTTGGTTGCTTTTCAAGTTGTGTCACTCTGTTCTTCATTCTTTCTCATATTTATCTTTCTCATTTGTTCATCTTTGCTTCCATATATCATTCATTTTCATTTGTGTTCTTTGTTATTTATCATATTTATCTTTCTCATTCATTCATCCTTTTTTCTCTATATTATTCATCCATCTTTTCATCTACTTATATTTTTTCCATCCAATCTTCATTAAAAAAGTTAAAAAATAAAACCTCATTCAATTTGTTACTGGATTTTTTGGATCTCTTTCCCTTACATATTCAGATTGAAAAAAAAAAGGCAACATACTCCAAAAGGAAGAACTAGCATCATTATAGGGGAAAAAAATTCCTGCAAAAAGAAATTTTCGGGGAAAAAAACAAAGAAGCTGAAAAGTTGATTTAAAAAAAAAGTTAAAAGGGAGACAAGGAGAGAGTGGAGATTCAATTTGATAAAGGATAGAGTTGAATCTTATCATATCTTATCTACCATATTTTTTTATTTCATTCTTATCTCATCTTATTTTATTTATCTTATCTTATTTTTCCTATCATATCTTATCCAATCTTATTGTTTCTCACCTACGTTATTATATCTTATCTTCTAGTCTTCCTTTGTAATTTAACAGTAGTTTCACCATGACTATTATCTCACATAGTCTTTTCTCATCTAGAACTTTGCAAAATTGAATTTGAGTAAAGAGTGCTTAATTGCGCATTAAAAGAGTGATAAACATAAGTGACATTCTATTGAAGGAAACACGTGAGCGAGTGTGCGAGGTTCAAATTTTTTATGTTGCTACATTAACCTTTCAGGTACATCATGAGTGAGTATTCTTGCTCAAGGGAACACTCTTCTAAAAAATCTAAAGTTAATTATGCTAAGGCTCTCTATGAGAAGCTTAATCAACTTGAAAGAGAACTTAGAGAACTAAAAGCTTCCTAAGACGATGAACGTAGTAGTTATAGTGAAGAAGTTCATTCCAGAATGAGGAAATCTCAATCTAAATTTGATCTTTCTAACTAAAAGATTAAATATCCACCATTAAGGGTCATCCAAATTCAGATATCTATCTTGATTAGGAACTTAAAATGAAGGAACTCTTGTCATCGAACAACATACCTACTAAGAAGGAGGTAAAAATCGCTACCTATCAAGTTTCTGGTTATGCACTAATCTAGCGAAAAGATTTCTTGATGAAGTGTTGAATCATCAGCAAAGAGCCTCCAAATTCTTGGGAAAAGCTTACAAAGTATATGAGAAACAAATACATGCCTGGCTACTATTACAAGGAGTTAAAAAGAAGGCTACAATTGTTTGGCCAAGGTTCAATGATCGTGAAGGAATTGTACATGAACTTAATCAACTTAAGATGCGAGCTAGAGTACATGAAGATGATAAAGCTTACAAGATCTGTTATTGATGGACTTAGGCTAGAGATTAGAGACAAAATGAATATGTACATTTACACCTTTATAGATAAGGAAGAGCCCATGTACAAGTCCATCAAAATTGAGAAAAAGTTTTAGGAGAAACAATCAAAACCTTCAACTTCTAGTTGGAGCAACTCAAAATCAACCTCCAAACTAAAGGATTCTAAGCCCCAGAAAAATATGAGTCTATGCCTAAGGCCAAGGAAGAATCTAAGTCCAAATATGATGGTGGGAAGGTGTCTGATTCTATAATATCTTCTATTACTAAAACATTTTCTCTTGAATGCTATACGTGTCATGAAAAGGGGCGTATTACTTCTTAACGTCCCAACAAGCGAGCTATGATTCTTAAGAATAATGGGGAATGTTATAGTGATCACACAGGTGATAAGAATGAATATAAAGGCATGCCTCATTTAAATGATGCATCTGACCTAGAAGGTGGTGTATT